GATTTCATACTTACAAGACCATCAGGCTTGAATTAGCTGTTTTGTCTTCTAGTAATGTGGTGCATGCCTGTATTTCCTTAAACCTTGATTTTAGCAAAACATGTCAATAAAAAAAAAGATTCATAATAACATCCTTTTTTGGTCAGTAGGTGCCCAACATAACAACAGGTGGTGATGTGTTGGACACAGTGTCTGCATTCCTGATTTCTGTAACTGTTAGTTTACCTGTGTAATACTGGCATAAGCTCAGAACCACTTGTGTTTCAAACATGGTTCTGTTTTATCAATTGATGTGCTGATCAACGGACAGTTCGTTACCGCTGTCAAAATAATCTCTAGCTTAAAGTTATGTTTGTACTTGTGTTTCTTTTTGCAATTAAGATAGTGATGCAACAATAATACACTTTTACAATAGGCCTATATCTATAAATACAAACCTCATTGCTACAGAACTGTTTTGAATTTATTCATGTTGCATAGGCTTACGTTTAAATCATGTTTAAAAAAAAATCTAAGCAGTAGATCTCAGTTTACATTTTGACTCAGAAAGGGATCTTGTCTCAGAAAAGTTTGGTGACCACTGCTATAAACGAAAGAATGGTCAAAATATCTCCTCCGGGAGGCTATCATAGCAGCCAAGGAGGTTCGCTAGTTTATCTGTGCATATTTGTTTGTGCTCCGATTACACGCAAGTGTCTAGATCAGCAGTTTACACATGATGACTTCAGCCTTTTGTGAAAAACCTTACTTGGCAAAATATAGCTAGCTAGCTGTCCTCGCTTAGTTGGTTAGCTACCTAGCCAACGTTAGCTCTCATCTAACTGGTAGAAAGCCAGCTAATCAAAATAAAACCACATTCATTGGCTAGCTACCTTTATTTGCCTGTTTGTTGGCTAGCTAGCTTTCAGTCCGGCTACCTGCTGGACTTTGTACAAGCAAGCTAACGTTAGCTAGCTAAAGTTAGCTAGTTAGCTACCTAGCTAATCAAAATATCTGTTTGCATTTATTGATTTCCCTCAGCTTGAATACCAACATATAGCTAGCTATATACAGTAGCCTAGGTTTGTTCGCATACACTTCTTATGACTGGAAGCATGGTGCAAGCAGCTGTGTAGTTGCCGAGCAACAGACTCAGTGTTAGAACGCTGAGTTTCGGCTAGAACATATGTTAGCATTGTCAGAAATGCTACAAAAATGTAGAAGGTAGCACATCAATGTTTCTTAACGGATGGAAATTATAAATGTAATAAAAACTGTTGCGCCTACAAACTTAGCCAATCTGGCATTTTTTAAGTCCAATGGTCACTTCATGGACGCTATCGTTTCATTTTAATCTGACGTCTAGGATTTGAGCTAGGTAGGCACACGAATTGCTAACGACCCTGTTAAAAAATCCGGTATGTGGTTCTCAGTAATGGACGGACAGCTCATGACGAGAGGCGGGAGTGTGTTGTGTACCTCTAATCAAGTTGATTTGCAAATATTCATCGAGATCGGTGTCATATTGGCTTATATATGATGATAGGGAGATTTGAATTTAACGCTGAGCTTCCACCAATACCTATAATAGACGTGACTATTGTCGTCTTTTTTTAATAGGTGATGGCAGCACTATATGGTGTACCGTTTAGGTGAACTGCACCTTTAAACCCCCTTTGGAGAACTGCACCTTTAAACCCTGTTTAGAGAACTGCACCTTTAAATCTTGTTTAGAGAACTGCATCTTTACATCTTGTTTAGGAGAAATGCACCTTTAAACCCTATTTAAAGAACTGCACCTTTAATCCTCATTTAGAGAACTGCACCTTTAAACCTGGTTTAGAGAACTGTATCTTTTAACCCCATTTACAGAACTTCACCTTTAAACCCTGGTGGCCATCTGTCTAACAGGAAACTCTTGAGAATGGACCTCCGTGGAGCTCATCTCATTTAGTAAATATCCAGCTGCAGAAATGGCTAACATCACAGAGTAAAAATGTAAACTATGCATGTCGCCTTAGACAAGGGTGTGAGCTAAGCAAATACATTATTATTATTCCTCCCCAGCCCTCATGCCATAGCATGCATGTAGCTTGTATAGAGAAGCTAGAGAGGAATGCTAAACAGCAACAGAACACAGAAAATACAGAACATTCTATCCTAGTGTTAGAATCTCTGTTACATTGGCTTCCTGTTTTTTTGTCGCTCAGAATTATTTCAGGTTGTTTTTAAAGCACTAAATTATTTGGCATCAGGCTTGCCAGTCTGACAAGCAGCCAGCTTCGCTAACTTTCAGATACGCTTCTGTGAGCCAAGTGCACACATTCCAAGAGTAAACTGTTAAAACAAGAAGAAGATGCATCCTAGTTCATCTCAACTTCTGACAGAAGACAGAAGGCATTTCTATGTATACTGAACAAAAATATAAATGCAACAATTTCAAAGATTTTACTGAGTTACAGTTCTTAGAAATCAGTCAATTGAAATAAATAAATTAGGCCCTAATCTATGGATTTCACAGGGGCGCAGCCATGGGTGAGTCTGGGAGGGCATAGGCCCACCCTGTTGGGGGCCAGGCCCAGCCAATCAGAATGATTTTTACCCCACAAAAGGGCATTATTACAGACAGAAATACTCCTCAGCACCCCTCCACCTGCTCAGACGATCCCGCAGGTGAAGAAGCCAGATGTGGAGGTCCTGGGCTGGTGTGGTTACACGTGGTCTGCGGTTGTGAGGCCGGTTGGATGTACTGACAAATTCTCTAAAACGACGTTGGAGGCGGCTTATGGTAGAGAAACGAACATTGAATTCTCTGGCAACAGCTCTGTTGGACATTCCTGCAGTCAGCATGCCAATTGCACGCTCCCTCAAAACTTGAGACATCTGTGGCATTGTGTTGTGTGGCAAAACTGCACATTGTAGAGTGGCCTTTTATTGTCCCCAGCACAAGGTGCACCTGTGTAATGATCATGCTGTTAAATCAGCTTCTTGATATGCCACACCTGTCAGGTGGATGGATTATCTTGGCAAAGGAGAAATGCTCACTAACAGGGATGTAAACAAATTTGTACCCACAATTTGAGAGAAATAAGCTTTTTGTAAGTATGGAACATTTCTGGTATCTTTTTATTTCAGCTCATGAAAAATGGGACCAACACTTTACATGTTGCGTTTATATTTTTGTTCAGTATAGAAAGAAAACAATTTCATTTGGCCACATTACCATTTGAAATACAAGGAAGCCAACTAGAGCCAGCCATATTCCAGCTTTGTGGCACGGCCCTGGTCTTATCTCAATGACATTTCATTTCACATCAACATTTTATCAACACTGCTGCTGGGCCTCAATGGAGGGATTTAATGTAGATTTGAAAAGCACTGATGCAATGAATCTTGTATTGACCACAGTCCAATGGTTGATTAATTATCTTTAGATGAGTTCATAACCACAATGATAATCCACGCTGTAACCGAACCAGTCATTTTCTCATACAGACTCATTGGTTATGATCATTACTTAACCATTTCTGTAATTGTACTATTGTCATCTGGTTTATTTTTCCTATTACTCATTGAGAGAGCATGAACATTAATAGGACGACCACCAAGAGCCACTCAGACAATGTGACAATGGTGTACTGTGACACCATGGTGTGCGAGGAACACCATGCTTGGGATTCATGGCGCACCTATTTAGAACAGTGTCACTTCAAAGTCATTCACAGCTATAGCTTTGCCATTTGGGCTCACTTGAAGGCTCTGTGTTGAGGTGACAGACACATTGTCACGGTTTCGGCCGAGGCTGCCTCTCTCCCTTGTTCGGGCAGGCTTCGGCGTTCGTCGTCTCCGGAATTCTAGCTGCCACCGCTAGATGTTTCATGTTCGTTTGCTTTTGTCTGTTTGTTTCCACACCTGTTTCTGTTTTGACGTAATTAGTGTCCTATAAGTTTCTCGTTGTGTTTGTCTAGGGTTGTGTGTGATTGTTTCCGTCAGTGTTGTGTTTTGCTCGGTTGAGCGTATTTCTCCACTGTGCTGGAGCTTATTTTGCACTTGTGTGTGCACCGTTACATTTTGTCGCACCTGTTAGTGCGCATTTACCTTTCGCCTTCGTGCGGGTTTTGCTGTCGGGCTTAGTTGTCCTGTTGCCTGTGTTGGGCCAGTAATACAGCCTTTGGAACATTCAGTCTGCGTCCTGCGTTTGATTCCTACACTACACCTACAACACGCCCTGACACACATCAAGAAGACCCTATTGTGTAAGCCCCACGGAGGCTAGGGGGAGGTGGTGTAGCAACGCCAGGGTTGTGGGTTTGATTCCCAATGGGGGCACATACACTAAAATGTTATGTACTCATTGTATTGTATGTTTCTTTGGATAAAAGCATCTGCTAAATGGTCTATTTTTTTAAATTATTGCATGATTTGTTGCCTGTTATTTGCATATTGCCCCCCGGTAGACCTGGGAGCTATTCCTATGAGACAGACCTTTCAGACGCTAAACAACTGGTGCACGTAATCAATGACTTCCAATATGGTTAACATCAAGGACGGGGTAGAACCTATTCCTTATCCCAATTTCCTCTTTAATAGGCCCGCGTGAACAGGAAACGCTCCTTCCTTCCTCCTCTTGTTCCTCTAAACATTCTGTGAAAGATGTATAATTCAGTGAGACATACATACATATTCATGAGAGATTATTATTCCACATACTTCAAAAACCATGTCAATGACTGACTACAAACACTTGTGTGTGGTGGTGCTGTGCTCCTTTTCAGAGTCGGATAACAATAATCATTGCAGTTGTTTTTCACTAAAAATGGCTGTCAAACTATACAACGGCAAAATTATGTAGAAATAGAAATGGCAGATAGGATGTCAGACAGTCAGTGTGTTGTAAAGGACATTGCAGTGCTGCTGTGCTGAGAGCCTGGAGGCAGTAAAATGGCCTGAAGCTGGAGCTGCCTGTATGCCTGCCTGCCTAGCTGCCTGGGCGGTAATGTAACTTCTGTGGCAGCGAGCAGCTAATATCCCCTGAGACCCTGACCATCCGACATCACTAACTGGGGAACTGGGACAGAAAAAAGACATAACATCCACAGCAGGGCCATCAAACCAAGTGGGACGACCCTGAACCCCCAGAGCCTCCAGAGAGCCTCCAGTCTGATGGTGCTCTTTGTTACACGTTGTCCCGTTAGCCAGGCAGTGTTCTGGGGATCTGTTGGAGGTGAGCTGTTAGCCAGGCACTGTTCTGGGGATCTGTTGGAGGTGAGCTGTTAGCCAGGCACTGTTCTGGGGATCTGTTGGAGGTGAGCTGTTAGCCAGGCACTGTTCTGGGGATCTGTTGGAGGTGAGCTGTTAGCCAGGCACTGTTCTGGGGATCTGTTGGAGGTGAGCTGTTAGCCAGGCACTGTTCTGGGGATCTGTTGGAGGTGAGCTGTTAGCCAGGCACTGTTCTGGGGATCTGTTGGAGGTGAGCTGTTAGCCAGGCACTGTTCTGGGCATCTGTTGGAGGTGAGCTCGGGGTAAGCAACTTATACCCTTACCCAGTGTGATTGTCCAAACTTTGTGTGATTAGTGAGAGTCACTGGTTCTGGCTGACATAATCTGTAGGTTTTGGAAATGTGATCGGATTCATTTCAACACCTGCCCAGCCTGGGACTGCATGGGTATAAATTCAGGGGCTAAATGGCATTTATTTAATCTGACCCTTCGCATTAAGAGAGACGCTCTCCGCTGATAACAGTATCAGACTGTGGTACCTCGGAGGTATGGCGGAGCCGAGCCCCCTGTGTTACACCAACAAAGGCCTGTGCACCGCCTGCGTCGTTGTGACACTCATCATCATTCATAAAGAGTCAGCTGACATTAGCTGTCATGAGGCATGACACATTGTGTGCTCTGGCTCTGTGACACTATGAACAGCAGCAGGTATGTAAGTGGTGGTGAATACTGGGGCTCTGATGTGCTGGGTGAATATAGGGCCTCTGAGGGACAGCTAGAGAACATTAGGGGTTGGAGGTGGAAGGTGGTGGCGACTATAAATGTGTTGGGGAAAGGTCCTGTGGGGAATGGGGGGAACATTTAAGGTTGGAGATGGGGGGGGGGGGGGGGGGGGGGGGGGGGGGGTACGCTATGGGGCGAAGGTCATGCTCTGTACTTTCAATAACTGGCGTTCCATGCTTTGATCTGGTTCAACCCTCCAGGGGACCGTTAACAGAGACAAACTATAGCTGCTGTTTTCTCCACCTGCCTATTCATCACCTGCCTGAGAGACAACTTAGGCTACTTACTGGCCAAACATTTGAGACGCTCATCAACATGTTTTCATTAATGGCCGCCCCTGTTGAAACATGACTCCTCCTGTCTCCCTCTGTGGCGTCCTCCAAGGCTCTGTCTGTCTGTGGTTACAGTAAGGCTGCATAGAGGACTAAATCATGTCAGGGTTGTCTCTCACCACACATATAGGCTATTGGAATGTTTTGGAAAAAAGCTTTCATATCTTTGAGCTGTAGGATTTTATGAATCTCATTTGAATGATTTGGTTACATTCAGTCTGCTTGATTTTATTTAAGTATTCAGAGTGAGACAAAACAGATATCACATGGACTTTAAAATCATTATATCCGTTTTCCTCTCCACTGGGATTCTATAGAGTTGGAAGTGAGTGCCCACTGGGTACAGACTTCAGTTTAATGTCTAGTTTTGCATTTGGTTGAGTTGTGAACTAACGTGAATTCAACGTGAAATCCCCCAAAAAATGTCACCCTGTCATTGGATTTAGGTGAAAAGTTGGGTGAAAAAATACAAAATTTCCTTATGTTGATGACTTTTTGCAAATCCAATCAGTTTTCCACGTTGTTTCAACATCATCACATTGAATTTTATCGGTTGAAATGAAGTGGGCCAGTGGGTTGGTATTGAACATATTGATTCTCCCATGTATCTCTCAGATGTGATCAAGATTAATTTTTCTTCAATGTTCAAGGACTCGAGCCCCTTCATCAACAAGTGCAATTAGGCTACATAAGCTTGTGCAAAACTACAGCATTCTAGAGAGCCAGAGCCAGCCGCGTCACTAATTGAGTCACCGCGAATAGCGAACACTACATGGCCACAAAATATAATAGGCTACACCTGTGATTCCAGGTAGCGCACCCTATTTGCGGGGCACGTCCTATTCGTTTGTGGCGATATAAAATATACGGGGCTGAAGCGTAAATTGAGTTGCATAGCAGACATTCCATTGAAAAACCAACAAGCCTCGGCGGAAAGAGAGGGGCTGGCACCGCGTCCAAAAACAGCAAGGAATCTGTTAGCAATATCCTAAAGAAATGGAAAACCGACATGCTGCAAACACATTAACCAGCTCGCTTGCTCAATCTCTCTCTTATTCCAGACCCCCACCATTTGCCAGACCAGCAGCATGGAGAGACATGTTTATGCAACTGCAAGTTATAGCTCTACCTTGACTATAGAAATAAACAGCATGAAAAGCAACAGCATTCACTTTTGAAAATAGTAATAACTTCCTAGTAGCCACAAAATAATAATCTAATATTCATCATTATTATTAGGCCTATTACTGTGTACTAACTGTTAGTAGCCTAATAGAGCAATAGGCCTAAGCATTTATGATATTTAATGACAGAAATGCCAAGTGCACATTATGTAGAACTCAAACATTGCTCATTGCTATTATTTTCAAGTAATTTGAATGCATTCTATATAATATATAGCCTATTATGCATTGTATTCCACTATCTGATTTTGATTCGATAGCTTATAATAGGCTGCCATGCGTAGCCAAAGTGGAACCCTATCTTTGTACAATGGACATGTGTTTTCTGTGAACTTTTAGACAGAGCATAGTCCCTATTCATAATGATGAAACAGTGTAAATAGAATACAAACCTTCACAGACTCCGACCTCATACTGCGTGATGGATCCACCGTTTAGCGGCGGTCTGATCACGCACCGGAGCCCGCGGTCGCAAGTCCCATACAGACCGTAGACACCGCCGCAGCTTTCGTTTTTCTGCTTGGCGCAGACGGAGCAGCAGCCACAGATACCTAGCACCACCGCGCCGGAGCAATGCTTTGGCTCCTCGCATTTAGACTCATCACACGGCAGACATAAAAGAGCCAGGCTGCTCTTCCAAATCAGGGAGATCAGAATGCATCTCGTTATAAGGTACATCCTGGCAGAGGCCATGTAGAAAATTGCTAATATATATCCACAACGCACCCCCCCCCAGACCCCCAATCACCAGTCCAGCGAGGTAGAAAACCCCAGCTAAACTATGCAACACGAAGAGCAACACGCAGTTCTTCTAAAGAGGCTCAAAGTTCCGGTAAACCGTCTAGATTTGTGCTGTATGTTGTTATACTTTCCGTTAGAGAAACTTTTGTCCCGGTGCTTGTAAACCAGGAAAGAAAACGATCCGTTAAAATGCGCATGAATCTGCAACTATCCCACACCACTGTACATAGAGTGCATGGTTTCTGTGTTCCGCACTGTAAGTCGTGAGTTTCAGTTTGTTTTAAGAAACTTTCTTCACTGTACTCAAACGTCTCCTTCTCCTTCCCCTCGGAGTCACTCCGTTTCGCTCTCAGAAAGCAAGGGAATTCTTCCTATTCAGTTCGTCCGTAACTGCAACACAAAGGCTCTATAATCTCTCCGTTCCCTCTCGTGGAAGCGCAATAGGCTACTCTATTCGTTTTGCTATGCGAGATTCGCTTTACCTAACTGAAAAAAAATGTTTTCCTGCTACTGCACATTCAGTGTGTCTCTCATGTTTTTGTCGTCCTCCAGTGTAGCTCTCTACGCCTGCATCTGCGCCCCCTTGGTAGTTCAGTCCCCCCTCACCGTGACCTCATAACGGAACCACTCCCATCTTGCATTTCTTTGCTCCATTGGATAGTTCATTCCAGATATGGAACACAGGAAGCTGCAGAGAGTCAGTGCAACCTGGTCTCAGAGCATTTCGTATTATGGTCAGTGATACACGGACTGAGAATATAGTTTAGGCACAGGGCAGGTGTGGTTTGGTCCCAGCATACCTTGGGAAAACTGAAGTTTACACTGTAAATCAGTCCTGCTTTGCATGGGAAGAGAAGCGGTTGGACCAGAATAGACTACACAGTTAATATCTGCATATTAGGAAACTGTAACTACACAACAAGTCGGCACTGACCTCAAGTCTAAATAGTGGACTAGACTATCAACTAGTCGTTTTGACAAGGCTTATTACATGCTTATTACAACAACTATGTAGCCAGTTGTGCCTATTTATTTAATATGTAGGCAATGTTCATAATGTAACCTATTCATCATAATAACTAAATATGTAACTTAACTAGGTTATAACAGATTAGTAATATGTTTATAACGCAATATTAATGATAACTGATATGCCCAAACCCAAATATGAATCTTGGAACGAAGAACCAAATATTTTGTTCACTAGACAAACTATCCAAATATAGGCTACAATTGTTTTTTATTCTCAACATCAATCAAGTAAAAGGCAAATGTGTGTTTCATTCTATTATAAATGCCTTTTGAGATAAATTGATGGGGTAATTGTAATAGACTTTAGGGGATGTGGAAAATGAAAAAGTACAGAAACATTTTGCTATGGAGCTAGATCGGTGTGTAGCAAAGCAATTTTCATTAATAACATGGTTGATAACCACAATTCACATTATCACGGCTCAAAGTGATTATTGATCCAAGTGTTAATGTCTAGGGATGGGTTGGGTTGATTCCCCCACACTTTAAGTTGACATGGCAAGGTCACGTGCATGTGGTCTTTTATTGGTTAACCATTAGGCTTAGGATACTCAAGAGGTCAATAAGTCATTCAAACATTATGTCATTATATAAAAACTTTATAAGTAATTAAAACAATATTTGTTGGAAGGCAAAATCATCAGAGATTCACCATGGTCATTAATGGTGTGGTAGAGAAGACAGCATTTTGTGTTAGCCTACCACTGCATCGTCAGTTGCGCTGAAATCAATCTGCATTGTAGTATAGGATCCTAATTACCTTAATTGTGTTGTGCATGGAGTCAATACTAGGCCCCCGCATCTCTTTTGTCAGCATTATTGTCCTTTAGTTGCTTTGTCTAACACTGTGATTAAGTGTGGAGCCAAGCTGAGGTGTTTTTAGCAGCAACTATTGCTTTGTGAAAAAAATAGCATCTTTGATTTTGCAACCAACAAAGCCTGAAGAACACTACTTTTATAGCCTGTACCGCTAAGGTTTAAAGTTTAAAAAACATCTAGCCTAGACCCAAGAGCTTTTGCGGTCATATATTCCCAGACTACTTAGCTACTGATCTTGTCATTTCTTCTGGATGTGCTCATCTTATTCAGGGCTGTCTTCTATCTTTTATCTATGATGGGAGGGTAAGCGGTGGTAAAATGGAGCCGGCTACCCCCCTTTCCCTTGGGGTTTCCATTGTATTTGACCATGTTTGAGCTGGACATCTATATCCCTGGTGGCAAGTCAGAGGGGACCTCAGTGTTGATGGGGTGAAGGGCCTTTTTTATGGATCAATAAACCACCATCTTTTTTGCTCTTTTTTATTTCCTCCCCTCCAAGAACTGTCAGGTTTCCGTGGTTCTGTGGCTGGTTGGGCTTGAAACCAAACCAAAGGATGACAGGCTTTCATTTCAGGAGGCAGTTCTGAGGGATCTCCCCTAAGACCAATGTCCTCCAGCTTTATACCCTATCCTTCCACTTACTGATCTGCATATCGCTCTCAGGGATTTGGATGTGTAATTTTTTTTATGTATGCGAATGGTGCTGATCAGGAGGACTGTATGTGTCTGAATCTCTTACTATAGTTTGATGAAACGTTGTATTTCATCCCTAGCTAGGTGCTACTTGCTCTTAACCGGTCGGCAGCGGAGATGCATTTTTAGAAGGACAGAGGACACCGGGCATTTAATTCTGGCAGCGACGATCAGTCTACCCTGCTTTCGCACCGCACAGAATCCTGCTCTGTAGAAAAGAGACAAAATAACTGTTGACCCTGGCTGCGAGCAGAGCCGGCCAATGATAGCCTAGCAATTTGTGTAGGCCAATAATAACAAGGTCACCAATCGCCACTCAGCTGAGGGCAAGGTATTTGAGGTCATTCGTTAAATATAAGTGTTTTTCTGTATTGGTGGGAATAATGGAACAAAAAACCAAAACTCAACACAGTCAATAGTCTGATCATCTTTAATATAGTGATGATGTGCACTTTATTAAGCCCTATTGTTGAAGGCATTGTGTATAATTGGGAGAAGAGGTATACAAAAGGACATGGAGAAAGAAAATTCATACTTAGTTGATTTGGTGCAGAAACCTGGGAGTGAACACATTTTTAAGCCACTTAAGAAATGACAGTCCACTTAGCTCTCCCCAACAAGAGGGATTTTGTAATGTTTCCGTGTTCTTATGTAATCAGGTTATGTATTGCTATCTGGTATACGTCTATGGAAGACTGATAAATAAGACAGAATCACTAAAGAAGTGTTTGACTGGGACCTTACTCATAACTATCCGTGGGCTAGAGAATTGTTATCTACAGTGCATTTGGAAAGTATTCAGACCTCTTCCCTTTTTCCACATTTTGTTACGTTACAGCCTTATTCTAAAATGTAGTAAATCTTTTTTTCCCCTTATCAATCTACACACAATACCCCATAATGGCCTCCTGTAGCTCAGTTGGTAGAGCATGGCGCTTGCAACGCCAGGGTTGTGGGTTCAATTCCCACGGGGGGCCAGTTTGAAAAATGTATGCACTCACTAACTGTAAGTTGCTCTGGATAAGAGCGTCTGCTAAATGACTAAAATCTAAAATCTAAATCTAATGACAAAGCGAAAACAGGTTTTTAGGAATTTTTGCAAATGTATTAAAAATAAAAAACAGAAATACCTTATTTACATAAGTATTCCCTTTGCTATGAGACTCGAAATTGAGCTCAGGTGCATCATGTTTCCATTGATCATCCTTGGGATGTTTCTACAACTTGATCGGAGTCCACCTGTGGTAAATTCAATTTATTGGACATGATTTGGAAAGGCACACACCTGTCTATATAAGGTCCCACAGTTGACAGTGCATGTCAGAGCAAAAACCAAGCCATTAGGTCGAACGAATTGTCCGTAGAGCGCTGAGACAGGATTTTGTCGAGGCACAGATCTGGGGAAGGGTACCAAAACATTTCTGCAGCATTGAAGGTACCCAAGAACACAGTGGCCTCCATCATTCTTAAATGGAAGAAGTTTGGAACCACCAAGAAGTTTGCCAAAAGGCACCTAAAGGACTCTCAGACCATGAGAAACAAGATTCTCTAATGATGAAACCAAGATTCAATTCTTTGGCCTGAATGCCAAGCGTCACGTCTGGAGGAAACCTGGCACCATCCCTACGGTGAAGCATGGTGGTGGCAGCATCATGCTGTGGGGATGTTTTTCAGTGGCAGGGACTGGGAGACTAGTCAGGATCAAGGGAAAGATGAACGGAGCAAAGTACAGAGAGATCCTTGATGAAAACCTGCTCCAGAGCACTCAGGACATCAGACTGGGGCGAAGGTTAACCTTCCAACAGGACAACGACCCTAAGCACACAGCCAAGACAACGCAGAAGTGGCTTCGGGACAAGTCTCTGAATATCGTTGAGTGGCCCAGTCAGAGCCCGGACTTGAACCCGATCGAACATCTCTAGAGAGACCTGAAAATAGCTGTGCAGCGACGCTCCCCATCCAACCTGACAGAGCTTGAGAGGATCTGCAGAGAACAATGGGAGAAACTCCCCAAATACAGGTGTGCCAAGCTTGTAGCGTCATACCCAAGAAGACTTGAGGATGTAATCGCTGCCAAAAGTGCTTCAACAAAATACTGAGTAAACGGTCTGAATACTTATGTAAATGTTATATTTCAGTTTTTTTATACATTTGCTAAAATCTCTAAAAACCTGTTTTTGCTTTGTCATTATGGGGTATTGTGTGTAGATTGATGAGGGGGGGAAACAATTTAATCCATTTTAGAATAAGGCTGTAACGTAACAAAATGTGGAAAATGTCAAGGGGTCTGAATACTTTCCGAATGCACTGCACTGAACAAAAATATAAACGCATCATGCAACAATTTCAATGATTTTACTGAGTTACAGTTCATATAAGGAAATCAGTCAATTGAAATGAATTCATTA